AAATAAATTTGCTTTCACTTTACTTTGGCTGGCTCTTGAATTCTTGCCTGCTTGCAGCCAAGGACCCTCACTTGGAGGTCTGTCCCAAGGACTCGAGCGGGTCCCTGGATGTGACAATTTCCTCTCCTCCAACACTGTCATCACACTCCTTTGGCATGACATGCAAGTCTACACAACAGATCTGATCTAAATTGGAGCTTTTGGAGTTTCCCCAAAAGGTGTGGGATTTTTCGTTTGCTTGTTGGTTTGCAATGAATGAATGAATACTGAATACCCAGAGTCGTCTCAATGACAAGTGGCTGAAACAGTTGAAAGCTGTCAGTTAGATTTTCCATTTTCTAAACTACCCACCCTCTTTTTAAAACATGGCTCCTACACTATCCAGCTTTCTAAGCAACCTTCCCCGTTACCGGCTTCCCCCTCACATTTTGTTGCTTTTGAAAACAGGGGATATATCTATGAACACACTGGGATAAAAGACAAGCAGACTTCCTAGGTATTAACGTGAATGCTGCAATGAATACACAGAGGACAAGAGCTGTTATATGATTCCCTTCTCATGCAACAGGAGAGCAATTTACTCAATTGCTTGTGCTTAAGGGTAATGTCATTTGTATGGCTTACATTTTATACTGATGGGAGAATACTAAGTTACTAATGGCACAAGTCAATAAAAAAATGCATAGGCCATGAGCAAACATGTTTGAAAAAGACCAGAACTGGCAAGTGATAGGGTTAATTCATGCAGTTTCATGTTTCAGATACTTGATTCCTGTAGAGAGATGACTGACTCAATACCTTACGTAGAACCTATCAGTAGCACAGGAGCAGCTAAGTTAAAGTATTATCTTGAATATTTTTAATTCCAAGACCCTCTTAGAGAAAGCAGCCATCTAGCTCAGTGTCAGTGAAATGTTTGTTTGAGGATGTTTGATGCATATTAAAATCAAACTGCTGGGACTTCCCTGGTGGTCCAGTGGTAAAGAATCCACCCTACAACGCACGGGACTCGGGTTCCATCCCTGGTCAGGAAACTAAGATCCCACATGCCGCAGGGCAACTAAGCCCGTGCACCGCAACTACTGAGCTCGCGAGCCTCAACTAGAGAGCCTGTGTGCTGCAAACTACAAGCTCTGGAACCCACGCGCCACAACTAGAGAAGAGAAAACCGGCACGCCACAACTAGAGAGAAGCCCGGGCGCAACAACGAAAGATCCTGCGTGCCGCAACTAAGACCTGACACAGCCCAAAATAAATAAAAATAAATAAATTAATTTAAAAAAAATCAAATCAAAGTACTTTGGGTTTTTAGTCTTTTAATGTGTATTTCTTTAGCATTAGTACAGACAAAGGACATTGTACTGGATATAATATTATCAACAGTTCACAATCGAGGAGATAAATCATGGTGCTATCTACATTATACAGCAAAGGCAACTAATTAATGTTTCAAATCAAATTCTTTATGAATTAAAGTTAGGGCAAGAGCTGGGTTACAGCAGTGAAGGTAACATTCTAGCCTTTTCTTTTTTCCCTTGACTCCTCTCCAAGGAAAGGAAAATGATAAATCCTAAGTACGGAGTAAAGAGTTGGCTGAGGATACTGGCATATGCCTTTTCCTGTTGTGACAGAAGAAATCAGTGACTTAAAAAAAAAAGCATTTAAAGTAGCAATCCCACTACTGGGCGTATACCCTGAGAAAACCATAATTCAAAAAGAGTCATGTACCAAAATGTTCATTGCAGCTCTATTTACAATAGCCCGGAGATGGAAACAACCTAAGTGTCAATCATCGGATGAATGGATAAAGAAGATGTGGCACATATATACAATGGAATATTACTCAGCCATAAAAAGAAACGAAATTGAGCTATTTGTAATGAGGTGGATAGACTTAGAGTCTGTCATACAGAGTGAAGTAAGTCAGAAAGAGAAAGACAAATACCGTATGCTAACACATATATATGGAATTTAAGAAATTTTAAAAAATGTCATGAAGAACCTAGGGGTAAGACAGGAATAAAGACACAGACCTACTAGAGCATAGACTTGAGGATACAGGGAGGGGGAAGGGTAAGCTGTGACAAAGTGAGAGAGTGGCATGGACATATATACACTACCAAATGTAAAATAGATAGCTAGTGGGAAGCAGCCGCATAGCACAGGGAGATCAGCTCGGTGCTTTGTGACCACCTAGAGGGGTGGGATAGGGAGGGTGGGAGGGAGGGAGACGCAGAGGGAAGAGATATGGGAACATATGTATATGTATAACTGATTCACTTTGTTATGAAGCAGAAACTAACACACCATTGTAAAGCAATTATACTCCAATAAAGATGTAAAATAAATAAATAATAAAAAAGTAAAAAATAAAGCATTTAAAGCAATAGTAAAAGAAATGTCAATGGTTTGCAGCAATTGGTGAAGCTCTTGAAAGCCTTGAATCAGAACAATTTGGAAAACTAGAACTTCGAAAATGGAGTAAGCCAGATGATAGAACATAGAAACAGCATTGAAATTGTACTTAATTGTGGCTGCGTATCTAAATATTGCCTTTTTTTAATTTAATTTTATTTTTTTAAACACCAGCTGTAGTGGGTCACTAGGGCTGCTGTAACAAAGTATCACAAACTGGGTGGCTTCAAACCACAGAACTTTATCCTCTTAGAGTTCTGGAGTCCACAAATCTGAAATCAAGATCTCTCTCCCAAATTTCTAGGGTAAGACCATTCTTCCCTGCCTCTTCTAGGTTCTGGTAGCCCCAGGCATTCTGTGACTTGTGCCTCCATCTTCACAGGGCCATCTTCCTTGTGTCTATATTCTCCTCTCTGTGTGTTTGTCTGTGCCTAAATTTCCCTATTACAAGGACAACAGTCATATTGGATTAGGGCCCATCCTATTCCAGTATGACATCATCATAACTTCACTACATATATCTGCAACAATCCTTTCCAAATAAGGTCACATTCTCAGGTACTAGTGTAAAGGACACTCTTCTGTATCTCCTTTACAGTCAATACTATATACACACTCGGAACACGTCACATTTCTGACACCAGATGTATGTGTTTTCCACACCGAGCAATTCTCCAACACCAGGTGGGGGGGTCCCAAAAGTCAATTCAATTCTGACACTAACTGCCTGGAGTTAGCATCAGATCCATAAGTTAAGGGCTCAGTCCCCTGAGACCAGCCCCTCTTCAGACACCAACTGCAAGTCTCAGATTGTCACTTGTACTTCCGACCAACCACTTATAAACTGAAGTTCCCATGACACTCTCCTTGGGTTCAGTAATTTGCTAGAATGGCTCACAGAACTCAGGGAACATTTATTTACTTTATAATACTTTATGTATCATAAAGGATACATATAAACAGCCAGATGAAGAGGTAGATAGGGTGAGATCCAGAAGGGTTCCAAGTACAAGAGCTTCTATCCCAGTGGAGGTGGAGTGTGTCACCCACCTCACATGTAGATATGTTCACCAACCCAGAAGCTCTCTGTGATGAAAAGTACTTTGGGATTTTTATGGAAGCTTCATCACATAGGCCTCATTGATCATAAATTCAGTGCCCAGCCCCTTCCTCCTTCCTGAAGCATGGAGGAGCTGGGCACTGAATTTATGATCCATGGGGAGTGCTGAAGGTTCCAAGTTTCTAATCATGGCTTGGTCTTTCCGGTGACCATCCTGAAACTAGCATCACTTCATTAGGACAAAAAGACATTTCATCACACAAGAAATTCCAAGGGTTTTAGGAGGTCTGTGCCAGGATCCAGGGGCAGAGGCTAATAATCCTATTATTATTAGCCTCTACCACAATCCTATCACAACTAGGCCTTAGGATTTGAACTTTTCTTTTGAGGAAACATAATTCAAGTCCTAACACCATCCTTTCAAGTTGCACACAATCCTAACACATTAATAGACCCCATGTATACACATATATACATTTAAGAAGAAATATTAGTGGTGTTTTTTGTTTTTTTTTAATTTTTTTTGACCTGGCCATGTGGCTTGCAGGATCTTAGTTCCCCGACCAGGGATTGAACCCGGGCCATGGCAGTGAAAGTGCCAAGTCCCAACCACTGGACCACCAGAGAATTCCCAAGAAATATTGTTAAATAAATATAGCTGAATTGACCATCATATCGTTTTGTCCATAAGGAGAAAACCCAGACTCTACTATGATGTACCACTGACGTCTTAGCCAAAATGAATGAAGCTAAACCCTGTGTCAAAGAAAACAGGTCTGCAAGGGAAACTGGCCTTGTGATGATGGATTTACAGACATGTGGCCAGGTGCGAGGCCTGCTGTTAGTCTGTGTGGCTCACAACACTGCGTTCCTTCTTAACAGTTCTCCTCAAGGTGTCCATTTTCCCTTGAAATCTGTAATTCTTCCTCACATAGAACCATCACAAACGAGGAGACAGAATGAAACAAGAGAAAGTATTTGTGTTTGGGGGACTTACAGATCTAGGCTTGGATGTAAGTTCCACCACTAGCTAGCTCAGTGGCCCTGGACAAGTTAATATCTTTACAAATCCTTAGTTTATGCACCTGTAAAAGGGCCATGCTTACCAATGACATGCAGTGTCATTGCAAGGATTAACTGGGATGAAGCACCTGGCCTGATACATGGAAGGCATTTAGCAAATGTGACTTCGTTCAACTTCATAATATATCATGTTGAAAATAAACAGTTGTGTAAGAACACTTTCCCTTCTGTGGAATACTAATGACAAAAGTATCGTGTAAAATAACAATTAATACAAACACAGCAAACATCGATTTTAATTAAAATTATAGTTTACGGGTTGAAGTAAATATGCTCACTTTCTGGTAATTACTATAATAAAATTAGATCATTACAGAATTGCAACCCCCGATTCACTCACAGAACAGACATTACTGGAGTAACAGATATGTGCCCGATGTTTCTTTAGGGACAATATGTCAGAGACACATGTAAAAAGCATGAGGAAAGTGTCACAACTTACCCCAGCGACTTTCTCAAAGTGAGATCCATCTTTCTTAAAATCTGTGAGGGCCCCATTGAAATACCAGGTAAACATGATGTCTAATAGGGGGTCGTGTTGCACCTGGCAGGGCAAAATGACACTTTCGCCCACTGAGACATCCATGTTGTATGGTGCCAAAGTTATTCTTGTTGGTTCTATTGGGGAAATAATAAAGTTTTAAGTAAAATGTCAGCATTTTTATTTTGATGAAAGCAATTTTCAACAGGAAGACTGCTAATCTAACTTATAGTATGTATGTGTGTGTAGACATACATATGTGTCTATATACATATATATACCTCTGTATCATGAAAAGTCTTCAAGATGAAGAGAGACATTTTGATGCAGACCCATAACATATTTCATTGGATACACAAATTCTTGTTAAGTGAATTAGGGTATCTACATTTATGGGATATTGAAGTTTAAAAATTGAAGTCACCTATAAAAAAGGGTTATAATACCACTACAAAATCAATTTTATTTTAGCTTTATTGCTTCATGAAATATACCGGTAGAGATAGAAACCACTGTATTTTCAATGACTGGAAAATGTATTACTACCAAAATTTAAATAGACTCAAACTTTTAAAAGACTACAAAAATGATGTTTAGAATAGGTAGGATACTAAGTTAAAATGTTAACTAATTTGTTTTTTCCCAAATGCAAATGTCCTTTCTATCATCACAATAGTCTTTCCATAGTTGGGAATTAAGCTTCCCTTGACTCCACTTTTCCAGCGCTGCTCCCTATTTCTTTGCTCCATGTTGTACCAAAAGTCTTCAAAAGAGGCATTGATTATGTTTTCTACAACAACAATCTTCCTCCTACCCAAACCTGTGCAACCTCAAGCCTTTCCCATCTCAGTTGTTTTGACTGTTATTCTTCCTGTGTTCACCAAACACTCTGCAGGCATCCTTCTCTTTCTTTTTCTCTCAGACCTCACAGTCAGTTTGCCAGCAACGCCTACTGACTCTACATGCAGAACATATGCAGAATCGAATCCCTTCCCATCAACTGCTCTGCTGCCACCCTCATCTGGGTCATTATCACTCCCGCCTGGATTACTGCAATGTCTCCTGAGGTTCCTCCCACTTCTACCCTTGACTCCCCACAGTCTGTTCTCAACAGAGCAGCTAGAGTAACCCCTTAAAAATATATTTCTCATCATTTCACTCCTCTGCTCAAAACTGCACTAACCTCGACTTTTCATGCCAACTAAAAGCTGACATCATAACAAGGCCTACAAAACCTCTACAAGATTGTCCCCAAGAAATCTATTGAACTCCATCTCGATGAAATCTTTGTTCACATCTCTCCTTCTCTGATCACTTGGGTTCATGCTCCAGCTTACTTCTCCCACACACTCCTCTGTATTTTACAATCGTTTGCAATTTCTTTCCTTCTAAGAATTTCCTTGCCTTATATTCCTACCACTTATTTTCTTTCTACCTTTAGTAGAAGGTAAGCTTCATGTGGGCAGCATCCTTTGTCAGTTTGTTACTGAATAACCCAAGCACCTGGCACTTGGTAGATACTCAATGTTTTTCTTCAATGAATAAATGAACAAACACATCCACAATTCTAAGTGATTCTTTTTGATACCAAGGGTTATTCCATGGACTCAAACATCTCCAGAAAATATCAAAGATAATGGAAAAGGAAAAAGTGTACTCAAAAGATTTGGCATACTAGAATAGCACGAAATAAAAGCAGACCAGCCACATATGCTACTTACAATTCTACTGCCCATTTTGGCAGCATAGTAAGTCATGTGTCCCTGGTACACACCATGGTGTATAAAGAAATATTAAGTATTGTTCCCTTGACTTTCACTTGTTAGAGAAAACACAAGTGCAAATGTAAGGTCGACCTTCGTGGTGCACTGCATATTGTGAAAAACATTTTTTCTTTGATCTTAATAACATACCACACAGTGTATCTCCATGTAAAGCAATGTTTCAGAAATGCACCTACCTGTAACAACCAAGTGTGTTGTGCCATTTGCTTTCCCAAACTGGTTTTCTGCTATGCACGTATAAATTCCAGCATCAGCTTTAGTCGCATTGGCAATTTTGAGTCCTCCATCTTTTAAAAAAGAAATTCTAAATATACAAATGAGACAAATAAATGTATACGAGTCACTTTTTTTCAAAATAAATAGAGTTTTTGTTAACAGAAGTATTGTCTTAAGCTACTATATTTAAGGCAACATAAACCAGCCCTTAGCCTCCTTGGGTCTAAAGAAAATTAAAAGAAAATTTATACACACATGCACACAGCACACTAAAAAAGAAGCTCCACCAATTCGAACATTTCTTGATATATTTACACAGTTTTAGTAAACAGCATTACTTAACATTACATCTGGTTTTGGGGATGCCTTTAACAATTAAGTGAGAAATGTTTTCCAAAAATATGTGGTGAGGTAGATTACTCATGGGTTAGCCTTATCAATTTGGAGAAAGTAAGAAGTAGACATAACACTATTTTCCATAAATCTGAAACAGTTTATGAGAAATGAGAAACTCCCTGGTGTTTCATTATGAACTTCAGAGACTCAGATCTAACCTAGTATAAATCCATATTTTGCAAAAGAACATCTGCATGGTCACCCATGAACTACTGCAAAAATGTGGGCAACGTAAATGAACACATCTGAGTTTCTGAGCATACGCTTAAAGTACTTAAAGCTTTTCGTCTAACTAATTAACTAAGGAAACAGAAATGAACTTTACATGAGCAAGACGCTATGAGAGTCTCTGAGATCACAGTGTGAGCAAGACAGGAAGTCCCAACCTAAGAAGAACTATAATCCTGTAGCCTGTGGAACAAAACCAAATTCACAGAAAGATAGACAAGATGAAAAGGCAGAGGGCTATGTACCAGATGAAGGAATAAGATAAAACCCCAGAAAAACAACTAAATGAAGTGGAGATAGGAAACCTTCCAGAAAAAGAATTCAGAATAATGATAGTGAAGATTATCCAGGACCTCGGAAAAAGAATGGAGGCAAAGATCAAGAAGCTGCAAGAAATGTTTAACAAAGACCTAGAAGAATGAAAGAACAAACAAACAGAGATGAACAACACAACAAGTGAAATGAAAAATAGACTAGAAGGAATCAATAGCAGAATAACTGAGGCACAAGAATGGATAAGTGATGACCTGGAAGACAGAATGGTGGAATTCACTGCTGCAGAACAGACTAAAGAAAAAAGAATGAAAAGAAATGAGGACAGCCTAAGAGACCTCTGGGACAACATTAAGCGCAACAACATTCGAATTATAGGGGTCCCAGAAGGAGAAGAGAGAGAGAAAGGACCCGAGAAAATATTTGAAGAGATTATAGTTGAAAACTTCCCTAACATGGGAAAGGAAACAGCCACCCAAGTGCAGGAAGCACAGAGAGTCCCAGGCAGGATAAACTCAAGGAGAAACACACCAAGACACACAGTAACCAAACTGGCAAAAATTAAGAACAAAGAAAAATTATTGAAAGCAGCAAGGGAAAAACGACAAACAACATACAAGGGAACTCCCGTAAGGTTAACAGCTGATTTCTCAGCAGAAACTCTACAAGCCAGAAGGGAGTGGCATGATATACTTACAGTGATGAAAGGTAAGAACCTACAAACAAGATTACTCTACACAGCAAGAATCTCATTCAGATTTGATGGAGAAATCAAAATCTTTACACACAAGCAAAAGCTAAGAGAATTTAGCACCACCAAACCAGCTCTACAATAAAGGCTAAAGGAACTTCTCTAAATGGGAAACACAAGAGAAGAAAAGGATTTACAAAAACAAACCCAAAACAATTAAGAAAATGGTCATGGGAACATACATATCGATAACTACCTTAAACATGAATGGATTAAATGCTCCAACCAAAAGACACAAGCTTGTTGAATGGGTACAAAAACGAGACCCATATATATGCTGTCTACAAAGACCCACTTCAGACCTAGGGACTCATACAGACTGAAAGTGAGGGGATGGAAAAAGATGTTCCATGCAAATGGAAATCAAAAGAAAGCTGGAGTAGCAATACTCATGTCAGATAAAATAGACTTTAAAATAAACAATGTTACAAGAGACAAGAAAGGACACTGCATAATGATCAAGAGATCAATCCAAGAAGAAGATATAACAATTATAAATATATATGCACCCAACACAGGAGCACCTCAATACATAAGGCAACTGCTAACAGCTATAAAAGAGGAAATTGACGGTAACACAATAATAGTGGGGGACTTTAACACCTCACTTACACCAATGGACAGATGATCCAAACAGAAAATTAATAAGGAAACACAAGCTTTAAATGATACAATAGACCGGATAGATATAATTGATATTTATAGGACATTCCATCCAAAAACAGCAGATTACATGGTCTTCCCAAGTGCACACGGAACATTCTCCAGGATAGTTCACATCTTGGGTCACAAATCAAGCCTCAGTAAATTTAAGAAAACTGAAATCATATCAAACATCTTTTCTGACCACAACTCTATAAGATTAGAAGTCAGTTACAGGGAAAAAAACGTAAAAAACACAAACACATGGAGGCTAAACAATACATTACTAAATAACCAAGAGATCACTGAAGAAATCAAAGAGGAAATCAAAAAATACCTAGATACAAATGACAATGAAAACACAATGATCCAAAACCCATGGGATGTGGCAAAAGCAGTTCTAAGAGGGAAGTTTAGAGCTATACATCCTACCTCAAGAAACAAGAAAAATCTCAAATAGACAACCTAACCTTACACCTAAAGGAACTAGAGAAAGAAGAACAAACAAAACCCAAAGTTAGCAGAAGGAAAGAAATAATAAAGATCAGAGCTGAAATAAATGAAACAGAAACAAAGAAAACAATAGTAAAGATCAATAAAACTAAAAGCTGGTTCTTTGAGAAGATAAACAAAATTGATAAACCAGTAGCCAGACTCATAAAGAAAAGAGGGAGAGGACTCAAATCAATAAAATTAGACATGAAAAAGAAGTTACAACAGACACCACAGATATACAAAGCATCCTAAGGGACTACTACATGCAACTCTACGCCAATAAAATGGACAAGCTGGAAGAAATGGACAAATTCTTAGAAAGGTATAACCTTCCAAGACTGAAGCAGGAAGAAATAGAAAATATAAACAGACCAATCAAAAGTAATGAAATTGAAACTGTGATTAAAGATCTTCCAACAAACAAAAGTCCAGGACCAGATGGCTTCACAGGCAAATTCTAGCAAACATTTAGAGAAGAGCTAACACCCATCTTCCTCAAACTCTTCCAAAAAATTGCAGAGGAAGGAACACTCCCAAACTCATTCAATGAGGCCACCATCACCCTGATACCAAAACCAGACAAAGATATTACAAAAAAAAGAAAATTACAGACCAGTATCACTGATGAATATAGATGCAAACATCCTCACCAAATACTAGCAAACAGAATCCCACAGCACATTAAAAGTATCATACACCATGATCAAGTGGGATTTATCCCAGAGTTGCAAGGATTCTTCAATATACGCAAATCAATCAATGTGATACACCATATTAACAAACTGAAGAATAAAAACCATATGATCATCTCAATAGGTGCAGAAAAAGCTTTTGACAAAATTCAACACCCATTTATGATAAAAACTCTCCAGAAAGTGGGCATACCGGGAGACTACCTCAATATAATAAAGGCCATATATGACAAACCCACAGCAAACATCATTCTCAATGGTGAAAAACTGAAAGCATTTCCTCTAAGATTAGGAATAAGACAAGGATGTCCACTCTCACCACTATAATTTAACATAGTTTTGGGAGTCCTAGCCACAGCAATCAGAGAAGGAAAGGAAATAAAAGGAATACAAATTGGAAAAGAAGAAGTAAAACTGTCACTGTTTGCAGATGACATGATACTATATATAGAGAAACCTAAAGTTGCCACCAAAACTACTAGAGCTAATCAATAAATTTGGTAAATTTGCAGGATACAAAATTGATCCACAGAAATCTCTTGCATTCCTATACACTAATGATGAAAAATCTAAAAGAGAAATTAAGGAAACATTCCCATTTACCACTGCAACAAAAAAAATAAAATACCTAGGAATAAACCTACCTAAGGAGACAAAAGACCTGTATGCAGAAGACTGTAAGACACCGATGAAAGAAATTAAAGATGATACCAATAGATGGAGTGATATACCATGTTCTTGGATTGGAAGGATCAACATTGTGAAAATGACTATACTACCCAAAGCAATCTACAGATTCAATGCAATCCCTATCAAATTACCAATGGCATTTTTTACAGAACTAGAACAAAAAATCTTAAAATTTGTATAGAGACACAAAAGAACCCGAATAGCCAAAGCAGTCTTGAGGGAAAAAAACGGAGCTGGAGGAATCAGACTCCCTGACTTCAGACTATACTACAAAGCTACAGTAATCAAGACAATTTGGTACTGGCACAAAAAAAGAAATATAGATCAATGGAACAAGATAGACAGCCCAGAGGTAAACCCACGCACCTATGGTCAACTAATCTATGACAAAGGAGACAAGGATACACAATGGAGAAAAGACAGACTCTTCAATAAGTGGTGCTGAGAAAACTGGACAGCTACATGTAGAAGAATGAAATTAGAACACTCCCTAACACCATACACAAAAACAAACTCAAAATGGAGTAGAGACCTAAATTTAAGACTGGACACTATAAAACTCTTAGAGGAAAACATAGGAAGAACACTCTTTGACATAAATCACAGCAAGATCTTTTTTGATCCACCTCCTAGAGTAATGGAAATAAAAACAAAAATAAAAAAATGGAACCTATTGAAACTTCGAAGCTTTTGCACAGCAAAGGAAACCATAAACAAGATGAAAAGACAACCCTCAGAATAGGAGAAAATATTTGCAAACGAATCAACAGACAAAGGATTAATCTCCAAAATATATAAACAGCTCATGCAGCTCAATATTAAAAAAACAAACAACCCAATCCAAAAATGGGCAGAAGACATAAATAGACATTTCTCCAAAGAAGACAGACAGATGGCCAGGAAGCACATGAAAAGGTGCTC